TGGTATCTCACCATTATGTTAAATCTTTTAATAAGTTCCAACAGCTTTCTTGCTGAGTCTCTTGAGTTTTCTCTATACAGAATCATATCATCTGCAAACAGGGATAGTTTGACTTCTTCCTTACCACTTTATGGGTATTATTATGTTGGGGAATTTCCCTTCTACTCCTATTTTTCTGAGAGTTTTTATCAGTTATGGATGTTGGATTTTATCAAATGCCTTTTCTGCATCAATTGATATGATCATGTGATTCTTTTCCTTTATTTTACTTATGTGATGGATTATGTTGATTGTTTTTCTAATGTTGAACCATCCTTGCAGATCTAGTATGAATCCCACTTGGTCATGATGTATTATTTTTTTGATATGTTGCTGGAGTATATTGGCTAGGACTTTGTTGAAGATTGTTGCATCTATATTCATGAGGGATATTGTCTGTAGTTATTATTATTCTAGTGGTGTTTTTGCCTGGTTTTGGTATCAGGGTTATGCTTGCTTCATAAAATGAATTTGGGGAGATCCCACCCTTTTCTATGTTCTGGAATAATTTGAATAGGATTAGTGTCAGCTCTTCTCTGAATGATTGGTAGAAACCACCTGGGCCAGGACTTTTTTTTTGTTGGTATTTTTTTTTTTTTTTTTTGACCTGTTCAATTTCTTCTTTTGTTATGGGTCTATTCAAGTTTTCTACCTCAGTCTGTGTTCGTTTCAGTAAGTAGTATGTTTCTAGAAATCTGCCCATTTCTTCTAGGTTTTCAAATTTGTTGGAGTACAATTCTTTATATTATCCTGATATTATTCTTTTTATTTCTGTTGGTTCTGTTGTGATGTCAATCCTTTCATTTATTTTTGTTACTTGCATCTTCTCCTTCTTTTCCTTTGTTAAGTTTGCCAGTGGTTTGTTGATTTTATAGATCTTTTCAAAGAACCAACTTCTAGTTTTGTTGATTTTCTCTATTGTCTTTCTATTTTCTGTTTATTTCTACTCAAATCTTTATTATTTCTTTTCTTCTGGTGACTGTATTTTTTTTTTTTTTTTTTGCTGCTCTTTTGCTAATTGTTTAGATGTTGCATTAAGGTGTTGATTTTGGCTCTTTCTTCTTTTTTGATGTGTGCATTTATTGCTATAAATTGCCCTCTGATCACTGCTTTTGCTGTGTCCCAAACATTTTTGGTATGTCATGTTTTCATTCGCATTTGATTCAAGGAATTTTTTAACTTCTTTTATTTCTTCTATTACTAAGTCATTTTTGAGGAGGGTGTTATTCAGTTTCCATGTGTTTGCTCTTTTTCTATTGGTCTTCCTAGTGTTGATTTCTAATTTTATAGCCTAGTGATCTGAGAAGATGCTTTGCAGTATCTCAATGTTTTTAAATTTATTGAGGCTTGCTTTGTGGCCTAACAAAGCCACATTGCTTTGTGGTCAATCCTGGAGAATGTTCCATGTGTGCTGGAAAATAATGTATATTTTGCTGTTGTTGGGTGAAGTGCTTTGTAGATGTGTTTAATCAAATTGGTTAATCATGTTGTTTAGTTCTTCTGCATCTTTGTTGAGTTTCTTTCTAGTTGTTCTATCTTTTACTGAAAGTGATGTTTGAAGTCCCTTACTATTATTACTGTGGAGTCATCTATTTATCTTTTCAATTCTGTTAAAGTCTGCTTTATGTAGTTTAGGGTTCTTTCATTGGGTGCATAGATATTAATTATGATTATGTCCTCTTGTTTAACTGATCCTTTAATCATTATATAATGGCCTTCCTTGTCTCTTAAGGTAGGTTTTGTCTTAAAGTCTATTTTATCAGAAATTAATATTGCCACTCCTGCTCTCTTTCGGTTGCCATTTGCTTGGTATATCTTTTTCGAACCTTTGATTTTTAGTCTATTTTTGTCTTTGTGGCTAAGGTATGTCTCTTGTAGACAGCATATCGATGAGTCATGTTTTCTTACTTATCCATTCTGCAACTTTCTGTCTCTTGAGTGGTGCATTTAATCTATTGACATTCAGTGTAATTATCGACAAGTGTGAATTTATTGATTTCATTTTGTTATGTGTTTTTTCATGTTGTTGCTATTTCTTTGTTTCATACAATTTTCTGTGCTGAGCTCATTTTGTTTATGAGGAGTGTTGTCACCTCCTTCACTGGTATTGTTTTAGTATTTGCTAAGTATTTATGCTTGTCCTCTTTTTTATTTTGATGTGAAGGTGTATTATTTTTCTTTGAGGTTACTCTGTAATTTATAAATTTATTTCCAAGTTAAAAACACTCTGTTCCATCTTGCAATTGTCTTGGCTTTCTCACCCTTTAGAAATTCTGTAACTACACTATTAATTCTCTCTTTTTGGTTTGTAGTTGTCCTCATTTACCAATTGATGTCTCTGGTTCCTTGTTTACAGTCTTCTAAGCTTACTTTACTTTAGGTACTTTTATAACTGGGTTGGTTTCTGGGTTATGCTGTCATGTGTGTGAATCATCGGTTGTCGTTTGCTTTAGCATCTTTTGTAAAGTTGATCTGGTTTTAACAAATTCCCTTAACTTCTGCTTATCTGAAAATCTCCTAATTTTGTTCCTAAATTTGATAGATAATTTTGCTGGGTATATAATTTTGGGTTGAAATTTTTTTTTCTTTCAGGGTTTTATATCTCCCATCCCATTGTCTTCTTGCTTGCATGGTTTCTGCTGAGAAATCAGAGCTTATTCTTACTGGCTGTCCTTTGTAGGTAACTTTTTGTTTTTCCTATGCTGCTTTCAGGATTCTTTCTTTGTTTTGGGTTTTGGTCAGTTTGATGACATGTCTTGGTGATTTTCTTTTGCTGTCTATCTTATTTGGGGTTCGTTGAACTTCTTGAATGGATATATTCTCATCTTTCATCATATTAGGGAAATTCTTTTCCAATAAATCTACAATGTTCTCTGTGGTTTTATCTGTCTCTTCCTGTTCTGTAATTCCAATTATATGTTATTCCTCTTGATGGTTTCCCACATGAATCTTAGGCCGTTTTCATCTTTTGTCTGACTGATCCCTTAACAAAGTAGTATTGAGGTATTTGTCTTCAATCTCCTTAATTCTGTCTTCCATTGATTCAATTCTACTCCTTTGCCCATTCAATGTGTTATCTATGTGTGAAATCTCCTTATTAATCTTTTGGCTTTCTGTTTGTTGTTTTTGTATCATTTCTAATTTTTTGTTTATTTTGTCAATTTGTTTTTGTATTGTTTTCCTAAATTGTTCTAGAGTTTTGTCTGTGTTTTCCTTAATTTTGTCAGTGCTTTCTTTGATCTGTCTCTCAAGCTGCTGAAGGTACCAAATACAAATCTTTTGAATTCAGTATCAGGAAGTTCCAATGCTGCTTCTTCCTCAGGGATGTTTTCTCAAATTGTACCCTAATCCCTTGTTCCTACTATTTTATCTTGATTTTTTGTGTGGACTGTGATGGTCTGTTATCTCTGAGATATTGTAGTATTGTTGCACTTAGTTTAATGTGTGGTTGTATGTTAATGTGATTCGCACAAGATGGTTTTCCTTCATTTTGTTTTGATATATCTGTGTGAGCAGGGTACTGTGCTCCTCTGTTCCCTAGTTGTTACCATTTAGGCACTCACCACCTGCCTCCTGGTTGGTGTGACAAAGAATGAGAATGTGTGCACAGATCTGTTAGCTGTTTATAAAGAGCAATTGAGGGTGAGTTGAGCTGGTATTGGCTGCCATCTATCATTGGTCAGTTGGTGCAAAAGCAAGTGGTGGCCCTTATTCAGTGGGTGAGGCTCTCCAGTTGTCAGTTTTCAGTGCAGTTGTCTGTGCTGTCCTTGGCAGGCAGAGCCCATCCCAGGTCTCAGTCCAAACAAGATGCCACCAGCACACACTCAAAATGGCTGTGCTAGCCACTTGCAAACATCCAAAATGGTTGCACTCTCAGGACAGCCACTGGCAGTCAATAGGTTCACCTGTGTCCTTCCTTGCTGTTCTCCCTTCTAGTCATCAGGCACCAATGCAGTCCTTGCCCGTGCAGCCTTGGTGAGCAAAGCCAACTTGTTAGGTTGCTATCAGCAAATATTCAAAATGGCTGTGCCAGGATTGTTGGCAGTCCACAACTCTGTCTCCTTACTCGCTGTTTCATTCAGTTTCTTCTACTAGTGGGTATTTAATCCACTTCTTTATCCTTCCCTTCAAACCTCAGGGTTCCAGGATCACCTTCTGTATTGGTTTTATTGGTTTCTCATTGATTCTTTGCAGAGGGTCTATGTAGCTTGTCTGCTTATTCCACCATCTTGCCAGAACTCCCTCTGCTACCCTCTTTTGCCACTTCCTTCTCTTCAGCAGGTAGCCCCTGGGTGGTGGAAATGATCAACTACTTGGCTGCTAACTAGAAGGTTGGAGTCCATCGAGAAACACCTCAGAAGAAAGGCCTGGCAATCTACACTTCCAAAACATCAGCCACTGAAAACCCTATGGAGCACAGTTCTATTCTGACACACATGGAGTCACCCTGAGTGGGAACTGACGTGATGGCATCTGGCTTGGCTTTTGGTTTTTCTCTTCAATTGACACTACCATGATTCAGTGGTAAAGTAAGTGAAACCCATCCGAACCCTCTCTTCATTCAGACATTATCCCCAGAAGATGGCCTGATAGGAATCTTAAGGCACTAATTACTTTAATGAGCACATGCATTTGCCATATATACAAATCTAATGCTGCTACAATCAGAAGTTGTAGAAGTAGGTGGGTATACTTGGCTTCCTTTGGACTTGGCTTCTCTTCCCTCTCATTTCCTTCCTTAGAACATTCTCTCCCCCAGAAAGAAGTATCTGGACCAGAATTCCCAGGGCTTCCCAGAGCTTTCTCTCCTTCATATTGGCCATCCACCTCCATTCAGGCAGCCATCCACCATCATGCAAAGGCACACGGTAAATGAGTCTCCTGACAGCTCTAGCCACTCAAGCATCTGTGGTTTTTCTTATTCTAAACCCCAAAGGCTCAATGTAATTTGAGACTCATACCTTAACAAGGCAGTACTGGTAACGTTGACAGGGATTCTGCCAGGCCAGTAAGCCAGAGCTGGGACCCGGTGTCCTCCTTCCCATGTGGTCTGCTTGGCTGGGCTTCCCCCTGTGAGAGAAGGGATTTATGGATGGTGATGATTCAGAGTTTCTTTTCAACTAAGAGTTAGACTCTAGGAGAACAGCCTCTCTCCAAGAATTTCCAATAATCCCAATGAAGGAATGACTTCTCTTTGTAAAGTTATTTTTACCCAACTAGCTAATATTTCTCAATAAATGATTTTATTTTACTGGGCTGAACATAAATAGTTCCCTCCATTACTCTCTATGGAATCGCATCACTTTATTTTCTCCATGGCACTTTCACTATCTGAAATGATATTGTTTGTTGATTTACTTGCTTCTTGTGTGTTTTTGCACCATAAGAACAGGAACTTCATCAATCTCATTCACTCTAAACAGCTCCTGAGATATAGTCAGGGCTTTGAATCGATTCTTCCTGGTTCAGTCACGGTCAATGATGCAAAACTGGAACAGACCTGAATTTGTAAAATGTGAATGAACCAGGACAATAACCGGAACAGGAAAAATTATGAATCAGTGGCCTGCTAGAAACTTAATCTTTCTCTTAGAAAATAAGGGTAGTGGACATGTTGCATAGCAACCAAATCCCTTGACCAAAAGAGTTAGAACCAATGGTACCACGCTCAAAGATGGTGGCCAACTACCCTGCTTTGAAGGTATGTTGTTCTCCACAGTCCTGGCAATAGTCCAGTCTCCTGCATCAGGCTTCTGAAAGGGTTCACTATGCCTCTTCTGAGAATCCCATTCCAGAGCTTCAACTTGCGATTTTTCCCATTCTAGTTATTGTTCCAGATCACCCAACTTTCAACAATTCGGGTCCATTCTGGTTTCACTTCGCTGGCTATGACTGAACCAATTTGAACTGGTTTGAATTCTGGATATAGTAGATGTATAGCAAGTATTTCTTGAATAAATGAATTTTTTTCTTCCTCTTAAAATCATAAACTTTAGGGGGAAAAAACATAATTATTTGATAAAAGATAAACTTGGAAACTTGTCCCAGCAATTTAATCTGCCCAATGCCCAATGACTAACCACAATTAGCCAGTGTCCAACAGTCAATCCATGTAACTGTCTTTTTGTTTTATTTTGCTCTGCTGTTTCTTGAATTAATGAAATGATGTTGTGGAGACAGCGTTAGTAATAGCTCAGGCCTCTTAGGAAGGTGGTAAGAACAGAAGTGCAATCTATGAATTTCCACTCTGGCAATTAAAGGAATTATTTTTGTAACCACTTAGTCAAAAGGGACCACCAGTATAATGACGACCAGCGGCCTGGAAGAGATGAGGTCATGTTTTATGGAAACATCCTGAATACATGTTGCACTGAATTAACCATGACCACCTCCCACCCCCACACACACCCCACCCTCATGCTGGTTGAGCCAGAGGCCGAGGATTCCACAAAGTTAGCGTGTAAAAAGACCTTCCAAGGCAAACGCTGTCTGTGCCTCACACATACTGTGGTCATGCAACTTCCCCATGTTTGGCTGGAGTGAAGAATAAAAGCAATTATGATGAGGGGGTTGGAAAACAAGACAAAGGCATCTGTCACTCTGAACTCATACTGCTGCACACAGAAACTTTGATGTCCCAGGCCCAGCACACCACACCGGAAATGCTCAGCATTCTTGAAACTTACTCATAACCAGCTTTGGGGACCTCCAAGTGTTAAAGTAAAAACAAAAGACAAAACTCATGGCCTACGCACTGTTTAAGAGCCCTGGTGATGCAGTGGCTAAGCACTCAGCTGCTAACCAATAAAGGTCAGTGGTTTGAACCCTCCAGCCGTTCCCTGGAAGAAAGATGTGGCAGTTTGATTCCATGAGATTTATAGCCTTGGAAACCCTATGGGGCAGTTCCACTCTGTCCTGTAGGGTCACTACGACTTAGATTCGACTCCAAGGCAATGGGTTTGGTTTGGGTTTTACAGACTGTTTATGTTTAAGGGTGTGGGACTCGCAAAACCAACTGGAGTTTGTGCAGGCTGGGGGAAGCACTTTGATGAAGCCTGGTATTTCTCAGATACATTCTTCTCACTGCAAGCCACGTCTCCATAAATATATATAGGGTCCACTCCCAATTATTCATGCACGTGGAACAGAGGATCCAGAACCGCAGCAAGCATAAATGCATTTCCACGTGGCTTTCGAATGCGTGACTTATGCTTCAGCTTCAGGCCAAAGAGCAGGGAGGAAGTATCCAGCATGCGGTGCCGGAGCTCCACAGATCATCCCACCCCCGCCAGGGGCATCGCGTGGATGCTTGTGGTATCGGCGGATGAAAATATGGAGCCTGTTTATTTGCACATCCATAGTGCACAGAATCCAAACAGACTTGCTTAACTTTTGAGGCCAGATGCTAAGGAAGGGTGAAGGCTTCAGTTCAAAGACCAAAGTCATTAGCTCAGAAGGTCAACCAGAAGGCAGGAGCTGTGTGGGCAAAGAGCACCAGAGAACGCACGGAAGCCCACAGGGGTTGGTCTCTGCCCCCAGGATGTTTCCACACAGGCAAAACAAGAAACCAAACTCACTGCCATCAAGTCCATTGCACTTCATGGTGACCCTGTGTGTGCAGGAAGAACTGCTCTACAGGTTTTCAGGGCTGGGATCTTTGGGAAGCAGATTGCCAGGCCTTTCTTTCAAGGTGTCTCTGGGTGGCCTCAAACCACCAACCTTTCGGTTGTTTAAGGAGACAAGCCCTTACCCTTGTGGACCACTCAGGGACTCCTCCAGAAGACTACACTGCCCTCTAATTAATCAATTTCCTAATTGGTCTTCCTCACTAGGGATTCTGCTTATTTGCCTTTTGTGTTGTTTTTTGCAGTTGACCGACTGTCCTACGACATGTTTCAGAAAGAAATACTTAAATGGGTTAGGAGGAATTCAGCCATAGATAAAACATGTATACAGCAAGAGAGTGGGTGACCCACATGCAGAGATCCAAGAATCAAGAGAAAGACTGATGGAGAGAAGCCCCGAGCTGTGCTCACGGAAGGGGCAGCCCCTGTCTGTGGTGTCAAGATGGACAGTACTACTGGATGCTCCTTGGGTTCTAACTTTAACAGAAAGATAAGATTATACATTCCACACAAATGATCACAGACCCACAGACTTCATATTCTAAAGGGATATATCTTACAAGAGTCCCACATGCAGGCCAGCAATTACAAAAAAATCGATCATCAACATGGATACCGCCCTTCTCTAAATCCCAGGTTCTCTCTGGCGCTGACAAGGTTAGGCAAAACTTAAAAAGTTCCGCCTAGCATTACTTATGGGTCCCCAGGGTCTCAGCTGCCTGTGCTTGTCTCCAACAATGCTTGTGATTGGCCTCTGCCGGCAAAGGCTGAATCCCAGGAGAGCTGGCCCTGGGCCCCAATTCTCATCAGTGATCCTGCCCCTGCTAAAGGAAACCCAGTCCAAGTTCAATATCATAATAACCGTCACTATAGTATCTAAGCACCAAGTCGCCGGGGGCTGTGGATCTTCCAGGTGGGAGACTCGAGTTCAATTCTTGGCCAATACCACCAGCCATCTGTCAGTAGAGGCTTGTGTGTTGTTCTGACACTAAACAGTTCCAGATTAAGACAAAACTGGCAATCTACTTCCCAAAAATCAGCCAATGAAAACCGTGTAGATCATGTGGTCTGAGTTCATTGTGCATAGGGTTGCCATGAGTTCAGACTCGATGGCAAAGCACCAATTTAAACACTTCCAAACATGAGTGAGCTCTGGTGGCTCAGTGGTTGAAGCATTTTGCTGCTAACCAAAAGGTTGGCAGTTCAAACTTACAGCTGCTCCACAGAAGATAAGACGGTCTGCTTCTATAAAGACTACAGACTTAGAAATCTAATGGAGCAGTTCTACTCTGTCCTATAGGGTCGCTATGAGTCGGAATCGACTTGAGGGCAGTGGGTTTGATTTGTTTTTTTAAAACAGGATCTCCCTGAATCCTTATGACAACCTTGTAAGCCAAGCTGTATTATTCTCAATTTTCTTTTTGTTTTGGTTTGTTTTGAGGCCTCTTGGAAATCATCTTTTCCTACTCTATAGCTTATCTGTCCTAGTGTCCTGATATTCCTTCCTCTGAAATGTCACTCGGTTTCTGGCATTCTTCCTTATCCAAGCTCTTATCATCTCTAAACTGGGCTTCTCCACTCCAGTCTCCATTCCTCCAATCAACCCTTCATCTCTCCTTAAAATCCTACTCTTATCATAGCATAGAATTCTTCTGCCAAAGAACCTCTGAGAGCTCCTTGGTGTCTTCTGGAGAGCCTCGTGTTCAGCAACTTCTTTTATCTTTCTTGTTTTCTTTTCATGTCGGTTGACCACCCACTTTATTTCAGTCCCTTTCAAATTTCTCCTTTAAACTAAGCTAGTCCACAATGTGTCAGTTATCTTTAACCATGTAGCAAACCATCCCAAAAGTTAATGTCTTAAAACAACACCTATATTATTTAGCTCTCAATCCTGTGTGTTGACCAAGGAGGTCTTCCGGTCAGAAGTGGTTTGACTAATCTTTGCTGGGCTTCCTCATGCATCTGGAGACAGTTGGTGGCTTGGCTGCAGGCTGGCTAAATATGAATGGTCTTTCTCACATGTTTGGTGACTGCCCAACTGGTTTTGGTTTGGACACCTCAGTTTTCTTCCATGTAACCTCTCCAAAAGGTTAACTCAGGCTCATTACCTGGTGGTTTGGTGGGTCAAATTTTAGCAAAAAGGCAAGGCCTAATGTTTAAGTCCCTGTCAAACCTCTGCTTGTTTCTCATTTGCTAATGTGCCATTGGCTGAGGCAAGTCACGTAGACAATCCGGGTAGGGAAATAGAACCCATATCTTAATGACAGAATCTGCAGTGTCACACTGCAAGGAAGTAGATGCAGAAAAAGGAGTAATTTATAAGCATTGTTATAATCTATGATAGCCTGCATGTACTGTGGGTTGGTCTTGTTATATTTGCTTTTTCCCCATTTTGTCAAGGGAATACCCTCCCTTTCCATTCTTTTCCCTTAATTCAGACTTTTC